GGAAGAAGAGAGCCAGTTTGGTAGGTCATCCAAGCCAGCTGTGCGCCTCCTGTAGGGAGGGACCGCGCCAAGGGGTGGCCCAAAGATATATTCCATCGCTATACTAGAGAAAGAAGAAAAAGGAACCGCGTTACGGAAAGGAGAGCCCACCCACCCCCTTTTCTCCATTGAACGAAGCTACGACGTGGGAAAAGGAAACTTTGCAGGAGCACGCAGGACATATGAATTGGAAGCCAAAATGTATTACCTAAAATTATTCCTGAAATTATTCTTGCTTCTCTTTTTAAGCTACGATTTCCTCATTTTGAAGAGCGGGACTAGCAAAGCTGTCCATGGGGACAGAAACTTTTTAGAAGAAAGTTACAAATTTTTATTCGTCCAAAAGGACACATTCCCATCATACATAAATAGGGACAATCAGATCTCCATTTATTTTTGCAAATCCTGACAATCTCACTATGTGTTAAGTAGGATAAAAAAATATTTCGATTTATTGAACCATGGGGAGGACACGGAAATATATTTTGAAGACGACAGTTACCAAGCAGACAACAGTAGCACTGGTGATGAAAAATATGTCATATTTTTGCGGAACATCAAGGCGGCATTAATTTACCGACTTATATGCCGTTTTGTCCTTTTTATCTACCTCCTCATTGCAGCAATTTTGATATTCCCGCATTATTTGAAGCCGTACATACCACCTATTCTGCTAAACAATCGGAGGTTTAATGAAGTGTTTGAAAATATGCAACAGAAAAAACTCATGGTATTTGGCATCATGATCTTTTCTTATAACATCATATATGGGATCTTGTGCAACACAAATGTGATACATGTGTACCAAAACAGGAATTTGATTTACGACGATTATTACTCTGATCATCTGTTTGTGCAGCGCCTCCGCGAGAATATGATGCATGTACCTGGGTAAGGGACTAACCCGGTGGAGGAGACCAAAGGAATGACGCCCTATTTTGGAGAGACACACCTGTGCGCGTGGCACAAAATTTATAAATGATGAAAATGTCGTAAACCCTTCGTGGGGGACATTTTTTGACAAATAAAGTTTGGACATGTACGCGGGTGGAAGTGGTACTCGAAGCTGTTACCCTCAAGTTGCTATTTCTGCCAAATGTTCTGTAAAATGTACCCGAACGAATGGAAAATAAGGGGAAAGAAAAAATCGCCCCTTCGCTGTGCAAATTTGCAAAGAAAAAAAAAAAAATTATGAGCAAGTCATATTTTTTATGCCATTTATCCTTAAAATGTATGACAAAAAACAAAGAGACAGCTGTGTGAAGCAAAGCATTTTGGCTGTTCAGGCCGTTTTCAATTTGCCCCATTACAGCGGCGAAAAGTGTCAATAGGATTGGCAGTCGCTTTGCGACGTAGACCCAACTTAAAAGAACACATTAAATTTGCTGTGTTTTGCTGCCTATCACCATTGGCAGCTTATTTTTTTTTGTTCCATTTTTCACCCCCATCGAGCAAGGGTTGTGAGTCACCCAAGGGCAATTCTGCGCTTTGCCAAATTTTCACCTGCATGGGTCAGGCGAATAAACAAAAAAAAAAAAAAAAAACAACGAATGAGTGAGCGAAAAAACAATGTGCACAAATTGTTCGTGATTTTTTTTTTTTTTCTCTCTGGACTACGGTTGAGTAAATCCCCCGCACTGGGAAAATAGGCAAATGAACCGCTGACGTAGTTCTTCAGATAGGACGCAATTTCATTACTTTTATTTTGCTTGCCCCTTGTAGGCGCATTCAAAATGGCAGTTCCGTTGCTTTTCCGCATGCCCTATTTTGGGGACAGGAACTTGCGCTGCACGAAAGGGGTATACATTAACGCATGCGTGGAAATATGTAACAAATTGTAATGGCAAGGAAATGAGGGAACAACAAAAAAAAAAAAAAAAACGTGCAACCATGTTGGAGCTTCCCTTCCTGATGTGTGCTTCCCTTTTAAAGTGTAAAGAAAGGGGGAAGAAAAAATATGCGCCCCACTACCTGCATTACGCACACGAAAATTTGCGGCGGCGCGAGCTTTGTCCTGCTTGATAATTTGTGTGCGTAGATCTCAAGAGAAGGAGTGTCCACTGGTAGAAAAGATTTGAGAACGCGCAAGGAAAATAAGTGCATGCATGTGGGAAAATGTTTACTCCGTGTCTGGAGCGTTTGCCTTCTCTGGTGCACATGGAGTGCGTGGTGTGTACCTTCCTCACTGCATGCTGTTTGAACTCCTCACTGCATGCCGTTCTAGGAAAGGGAACAAAGTAAGCCTTAAGCATGGGGACTGCTGCGCGGGGAGGTCTACCTGAGCGAGGTGGCAGGACACGTGGACGTATGGCGAGGGGCTGGCTGAGACGTTTGCATGCAAGCGCGAATGCACGTATGCAGGGGCTTGTGTGAGCTGCGCGCCCTCTCGAGGCGGCAGAAAGAGTGAAGAGTTACTTCATGGGATAGAACAATAAGGGTGCATATGAGCAGCGCGTCACTTGGGGGAGAATTAAAAACAAGGGGATGCGTCACGTTTGCACAGATGGGCGTTGTCCTATTCTCCATTGACGAGTTGCCTGGCTTTTCGTACATGCAAGGTAGGACAAGCAACGAGCCTCGTTCGCTGGTGGGAAAATGGGAAGGGAACAGAATGGAAAGCAAGAAATAGGAAGGGGGCCGTCGGTTAATTCTAACTTGCGCTGAAAAGGACACATTTTGTCAATTTGTAATTTGTCAATTTGTAATTCGTCAATTTGTAATTTGTCAATTTGTAATTTGTCAATTTGTAATTTATTATTTTGTAATTTATTCTTTTATTATTTTATTATTTTATTATTTATTATTTCTTTTATTTATCATTTTGTAATTTATTATTTTTTTTATTTATCATTTTATTTCAAAAAATTAATACGTTGAAGTCAAGACATTTTGCACCATTGTCCACCAGCAGCTACCACTTTTGCCATCCCCTGCTTGTCTTGCCCTACCCTTTTTTCAACTAATTTTTTCCCTCTACATTCTGAGGTTTACCTACCCTTAACAAGTTACGAACGCTTGGGGGCATACACAAGTAGTACGCATACAGTACCTACATCGTGATATCGAACAAACAGGCAGACAGGCATATAGAGAGACACACACACAAAAATGAAACTGACGTGTGCGTTATTCTTCCTGCTTGCCGTGGCAAGTAATTGGGGGCCCCACTTTTTCACCTCCTGTTCTGTCGATAACTCTAGTGTGTCTGAACAGACATACAGAGTTCCCTACCTCCAAAGGTTAAGTGAACTAATTGCCCTCTCATCACACGAAGAGCTGAGTGACAAAAGGGCGGAGGAGAAAAACAACTTAAGGAAAAAAAGGGAGGACAATGATTCGCCACACACAGTAGATGATTCTACTGCGAATGATGAGAAATTTATAGTCTCCATCGGTCATGATGGGCAAGTGACGGTAGAGAAGGCACATGAAGAGAACACAAGTGACAATGCAGAGGTATCACACAGGGAAGATCACTCCAATGCAGAGGTCCCACAGTGGGAAGACGAGGACGAAAACTATGGCACAGCTGGTCCAGCCCCCGCTGGAGGAGCAGACTATGAAGAAGATAATCCAACTGGTCCCATGCACCACGAACATTATGGCGCAGCTGCTCAAGCGCCCGCTGGAGGACCAGACTATGGCGCAGTTGGTCCACCCCCCGCTCAAGGAGTAGACTATCACGAAGAGTATCCAGCCCCCGCCGGAGGAGCATACCATGGCGCAGGTAATCCAGGCCCCGCTCAAGGAGGGGAACAGAGAGGAAGGAAGCTGGACCAACAGGCTCATAATGCGTATATAAGGTTCTTCTCCCAAAAACGATGTATTCACCTCCCAGGAGAGGAAAGATCCCTAAATTGTAGAGACATGCAAGGGGAGAATGATCACCAATATGACATTAAGGTCACGTACAATGAAAAAGAGGAGCACATCAATGGTCATGAAAACAAGTGTCTCAATCTTAACATTAACGATGGATCCCCTCCAAGTAAAGATGGACCCTCAAACATTTTTATTAACCTCTCTTTTGTCCCCAACATTCCGGAAGAAATAATAAACGACTTTTACGCCATCATCGGAAAGTTGAAGTATATGTTTGAAATTGTGGAACCGGAGCAGAACAGTGTACCGGCGGAGCAGAACAGCGTACCGACGGAGCAGAACAGTGTACCGGCGGAGCAGAACAGCGTACCGACGGAGCAGAACAGCGTACCGACGGAGCAGAACAGTGTACCGACGGAGCAGAACAGTGTACCGGCGGACCGAGTAGGGATCGAATAGGGATGGCATAGCAATGGCATAGCAATGGCGTAGCGATGGAATAGGGATCACATAGGGAGGGAAAGAGAAATTTTGTGGGGGGAATTCCCTCCAATTGGATCCTCCCCAATAGCGCCCCTGCGTTGTGCACATGTGTGTACCGATTAGCTTGGTCCATTGTGAGTGCTTAACAGAGTTGCACAAGGGGATGGGGGAGCACGAAGGGGTGGAGGCGCACTTGGGCATGGAGGCATAACACACATTTTTGTACACCCCTCTGCCCTTCCCTTACTGTACTAGCACAGGTAACCTTCCCCAACCGCCGCCCCCGCGGTTCTGTTAATAACCATTTATCTGTTTAGCTCTTCAGCAGTTTATCTGTCTAGCTGTTTAGCTGTTGCAAAGGCAGCATATGGACAGCTGCAAAACGGTTGGGCCTCCCGTTTCTTTTTCGCCCTTTCGCCATTCGCCATTTCGCCTTTTTGTTTTTTTTTCCCCCCCCTTCTCACACGCCACGCGAAGTGGGACAATTACATATATGTGCAAACTAACGGAGGTGCAAACTAACTGAGGTGCAAACTAACGGACGTGCAAACCTGCACGCTTTAACTCAGCTGCTCCAGCTCCAACAAATGTGAGTTCTTGTCCAAGGGGGCCTTCCGGATGGCTCTTCCTTGTGCACGGACCACACCCGGTTGGGTGGAAATGACGTGAAGTCACTTGGGGTGCAGCTTCGTAAGGGAGAAGCTAGGTGGATTGGTCTACCCCATTTGTAAGGTTTACTCTCCCCCTTTTACGAAGAGTGTGTCACACTTTGGCGCTTTATTCTACGTTGGGTCGTGGGTGCACTGGCAAGAAGATGAAGAGAACAACGCGCACTCGGTGCACGAGGTGATCGCACGTGTAGGTGTAGATATCGGCTTTTCCGTTTCCCCGGGCAAAGGAATGCACTGTCGCAGATGTAAGCTGCCCAGGTTGCTGGGTGGGTCGGAATAAAGAGAGTTTCTAAAAAGGGGTTTCACAAAACAAGTAGGAGAAACCTCCTCTGTGGGGTACTTCTTCTCGCAGTAAGGGTTCCTCTTGGGGTGCGTTTTTTTTTTTTTTCTTTTTTTCTCGCTTGTGAGGTTTACAGGGGGGTATGGACGACGGATGGCACAAGGGGCCGCATTCTTGTATTCACAGGTGTAGGTATTTAGTCGCGCGTATAAGGTCGCTGCCTGTGCTAGGTAATTCTGAAGGACTCTCCCCCCACTTGCGGCGGCTCCCAAAGAGGGAGTCATCCAGAGGATTTTTTTTTTTCTCTTTTCTTCTTTTTCCTTCCTTTTCTTTCCTTTTCCTTCCTCTTCCTTCGTGCGTACGAACATTTCGATCTGAGAAAATAACTCGGCAGCGCTGGTTAACTGGTCATTCTGTTTTCCAGAGGTAACTAACGTGAGGAGTTCGCATTAGTACGCGCGGGTTAACGTATGTAAAAAGAGCATACACGTCCGAGGAGAAATCCTTTTTTTTTCGACGCTCCACAGTAGGGTGTAATCCCCTCAATCTGTAACCCAACCGTTAAGTGAGACGAAAAGGAGTCCACCCCAAAGGGGGGAGGCACACAAAGAAGACGAAGAGGAGGAAGGGACTAGAACAAGAAGGAACTAGAAGGGAAGGAACTGTTCTCCACGGGGAGGAAACACCCAAGTGAACTTCCCACGGAAAAAGCGCACTTGAAGTAGTTCACAACGCGTCATATAAAAGAAGAAAAGAAAATAGAAAAAAAAAAAAAATCACTCACTTGCGGAGAGTGAGATCTCCCACCCAATTGATGAGTAAAAGAAACAAATAAAACGCAAAATGGAAGAAGAGAATAAGGTACAAGCGAAACTAAGTATCCCCAGGTGTGACACCAAAATGTCTGACTTGGCGTCTCCTCATACGGGTGTCGACTCCCCCTGATGTACATTCTGTGATTTCGTTTAACTTCCATTGTGTCACTGTACAAAAGGGGGCAATGTGCACGGTGAGGCAGCTCCCCCACAACGTGGAAGCGTGGGAACTCACAATGTGGCAACGTGGCAACTGTGAACTCACGGCGTGGGACGTTGTCAACCTCTGAACTCATAACGGCGCGTCTAACGCGGTTCGGTTGCCCCTTTCGCAGCTGGTGGAGAAGATGATCGAATTTGGCTACTCCAAGGAAATGAGCCTGAGGGTTATCAAGAAGAGCCGCGCGAAAACGAGTAAGTCACGGAGGGGGGCGGAGCGGATGCCCTGAGGATGCCCTGAGGATGCCCTGACGATGCACTCACGCTTCACTCACGCTTCACAGACGCGCACCCCACATGGTGCGTTTTTCCCACCCTTGCCACAGTCGACGAAGTGCTGAATTGGATCGAGCAGAGCGAACAGAATGGAGGTGACGGAGACGGCGCAGGTGACGCAGATGACTGGAATGACGGGAATGACGTCGATGCAGCCGCTCCCGCTGAGCGCTTAAGCGACAAAGACGGAGGAAAGAACCCCACCGACACATCAAGCAGCGCGGACAACGGGGAAGGCAAATCCAAAATGACACCAGAAGAAGCCCAGAAAAAGGCAATGGAACTACAGAAAAAAATCAGAGAAAAAAAAATGCTCAAGGAAAAAGAAGAAGAAATACAAAGAGAAAAGAACCGAATTTCTATGGCGAAAGAAATGCAAAAAAGAAGAGAACAAATCGAAGAATTCGAAAGAAAAAAATACCTTCAACATTTGGAGAAAGAAAAAAATGAGCATAAAAAGGAAAAAGAAAAACAGCTTGAATTGTTAAAGAAGGAATATGAAGCCAAGTTTGGCATCGCATACCAAGTACAGAGTGAAAAAAAGAGCATCCAAGATTTGACCGAAAATGAGAAGCGTGAAGAAATTGCCATTTTGCTAAACACCTTAAAAAATAAACACAAGGACAAGAAGAAGGAGCTACTCAGCTCCCTAGCCATTTTGAAAACCTACTTTTCCAACATCAAGGATAATATTCTGGAGAAGAAGTTCCAGAAAATAAAGAAGGAGAATAAGGTGTTCCTCGAAAAGATCAAAGTGTACGAGGAGATGCTGCAGGTGTTTTTGCTAGTCGGGTTTGAGGACACGGGTGAGAAGCAACAAGGGCGCGAGAGCCAGTGAAGGTGCTTGCTAGGCAGTGAAGGTGGTGTTTTCCAGTGAAGCTGCTCCCTAACCAGTGTAGTTGCCACCTAACCAGCGCAACCCCCCTTCCAACGACCCCCCTCGCAGGCGACTTCTACGCAATTAAGAACTTCCCAAACACGTACCTCCTCGCGTCGGCCATCAAATTCATCGATTTAATTATGAAGACGTTGAATTCGTAGGTGAGAAAAAAAAGGAAAAAAAAAAAAAAAATGAGCATCAAAACAGGGGGTCCCAGTCCGGGCCAAACACACTGGGACTTAAAAAGAGGGAACGCTTTTTACTGCTACACGTAAAAAAGGGGAAAACAGAAAGTGATTTCCATACTTAAAAAAAAGAAGCCCCCGGCTGGTTACCAAGGGGGGTACATATATATATGCACATAGACACACACGTACGTATCGATGTGCGTGCTTTTCTCTCCACACAAATCGCAGCTAACTACAAATTTACGGGGCGCCCAGCGCTAAACAAAAATTGAGACAGCTCGCCGCATAGTCAGGTTGCCGCTTCACAGCATAGCCACGTTGCCGCCTGACCACTAAACTGGGCAACGATTGGAAGATGCCACAAAGGGAAGAGCGCAAAAAGGGGACAATTTTAAGCGACCAGAATGATGCATTAGGGGGTGATCACGTGGGCTGTCTAAGTTCGAGGCCAAATCGACGGGTCGTCCAACGCTACGCCACTTGCGGTAGATTTCTCCACCTGCAAGCCACTCCGAGTGTACCCCTCCCCCCCCCTCTTGTCACCCTCTCCGTAGTAGAAGCACTAGCCATCCTCTCCATGCAAGGACTGACTTAACGGCGTGTACACCCAAGAGACCAACAACACATGGGTGAGGAAATGAAAGAAGTAAATGTTCTCACTCTGAAAGAAAAAAAATATCTTGGAATATAATTTGAAGTATATATAGAGGAGTTCTTTTTTGTTTTTATAATTGAATGAGTTGTAGGCTTCCACTAGGCAGACGTTCATGTCCTTCTTAAACTGGATGACTTTCTTGTACGTCAGGTGTTTTAAGTTTCGTATGTCCGTGATGTTGTTTCGCTGCGTGGGGTGGAAGCGGGGGTAGAAGCGGGTGTATATACATGTGGTCATATGTGTTTGTAGATATGTGTCCGCACGCATGTGTGTTGCTAACCGCTTTCATTTTCCCCCTCTCTCTGCGACATCTTTGACCTCTTTTGGCCCTCTCTCGGCCCTCTCATTGCTCCCTTTTTCCTCTCCTGTACGCGCCGCTCCCTCGCTGGCCTTACAATAAACAGACAGTTGAGCTTCTTTTTTATGTGCACGAATTTATAGTTGTGTAGAAAGAAGATTGCCCTTCTCAAGTAATAGAAGGAGGCATTCTTCCTGTGGATAATCTTGTCCTCATAGTGGTTTTTGCCTGTCAGGGGGAGGGGGAAAGCGTCTTCATGAGTCTGCGCCGTTGCGAAGTGGAGGCTATTACACAAGTGCATTACACCGAATTTCACCGCATTTCTTCCCTGCACCGCTTCGCCTATCTGTGGCTGTTTCTTCCCCGGGCGGACATGTCGCGCAACTTACTGATGATGCCGTATTTGACGATCCTGTACAACAGGTTGTGCGGGAAGATATTATTCCGCGTGATGATTTTGCTGCACTGCTGAACAATTTTGTGGTTGCTTAAAAATCGGGGATACTTTTTTTTGAGGTACTTGAGGAGCTTAATTCCTATTACAGATAACACGAGGAGAAAAATGACATAAATGCATGAACGGAACTGCTTACTAAATTGGTGCGTGAATCTCATTAGTCTGACGGTATGTTTTTTTAAAGGGGGGATAAATATGGGGGAAAGTCGCCGTGGCTTTGCAGTCGGAATTTGTTCGCACGTTGGTTTTTTCCTTTTTTTTGATTGTATTTTTTTTCCTTTTTTTTGATTGTATTTTTTTTCCTTTTTTCTGAGTGTATTTTTTTCCTTTTTTCTGAGTATTTTTTTTCCTTTTTTCTGAGTGTATTTTTTTTCCTTTTTTCTGAGTGTATTTTTTTTTCTTTTTCTTCCGTTTCTCTTCCCGATCGCGCCCCTTACACTACGCAGCCACTCCTCTTTGGCCGGTGGTTCTGCTCTGTCGCAAGTTCGTGCGAGAATTTTAACGCCGGCATACCTCTCCCCACGCCCCTCCGACGGTTCCTTCCTGTCTGAACGAAACTACCCGGGTTGAGGGAAACCCAGCAAAGAACCCGGCAAGCAAATTAGTGAGCGAGTTAGCAGGCGAGTTGGAAGCCGAACTAACAAAGAGGTGTAAATATACGGGCGGGAGACAAGGAACGAATTTCCCTGCCACCGTTGCTTCCTTCCTTCGTGGAGTGCTCCTGATGGGCTGCTTCAGTTAGCATGCGGTGGTTGGTTGTTCCCCCTGGTGGCCAACTATGAGTACAGCGGAGACGTGGCGCGGGCGGTGTGCGACTTGTTCCCCTGTGGGTTGCGTTATGTTTGGTTGTGTGTGGATGCCTGACGGGTTATTCTTCTGCTTCTTCCTTCTGCCACAATTGTCACAGTTGTCACTTTTTTCGCGTTTTTACCTTTTGTCACTCTTCGTCACTTGTTCTTTTGAAAAATTCTTTCCCTCCTTTTACAACCTTGTTGCTTTTTTTTTCTCTTTTTGTTTTTTCCCATATGTGTTTAATTTTTTTCCCTTTGCGGTAAAATAAATTGGTGGCTACGATGTACTCTACATTTCGCGTCATCGACTTGGTTACGCGAAAACTTGAGCTTCCGTTTTTTGTTTTTTCTTTTTTCTTATTTCTTTTTCTTTTTTTTGCGAAACGTTTCGCCGGCAGGTGAGCATTTTTATTTTTCCCCGCGTCACGCCTGGCGCTCCTTTTTTTTTTTTTTCTGTTTCGCCCTGTGTTTAGTGTGGTTTAGAGAGGAAAATGCGTTTCACGCCCACTCGCCGGGCCACACCAAACTGCGCATCGGATAAGTTAGATTAACTTCCCTTCACTATGTGTCACTCTGCGGAATTTTGAATCCACTGCGCTTAAGTGCCCTTTCTGACCTTCCCGCGGTGCTAATCAGGATGTTAACTTTTTTTTTCACCACATATTGTAATTCACCTGGGGATTTTTTTTTTTCCACTCGCAGCAGGGCACACATGGTGATCCCAGGGGGATGGAAATAAAATGGGCAATCGGTAGGAAGTGAAAAGTTACACCTTCATTGCGTAAAAAAGATGAGGAAAGAATTTTTTTTTCTTTCCCCCGGTAGATCGCCGCTTACCAGAGAAGTCATGAAAAGAAGCGTAACCCCTTTTGTGTGCGTCGCGGAGCCCACGATGGTGATGATGCAGTGACGTGGGCGCCACGCATGTGTTGTGTTGGCCTTTGTTGTGTTGGCCTCAGTTGTGTTGTCATTTGTTGTGTTTCGCCGTGTTGTGCACGTGCCACCCCTTAGAAAGGGAACAGCGCTGGCCATATCCCCAGAGGTCTGACTCCAGCAAAGCCTACTTAGTGTACACTCGTATGGGTTGCCTCCCCCGTCCATTGAAGGGCCAATGCACAGGAGTTACAGAGGTGGTGAATGCAAAACTTGGCGGGCGCCAAAAGTCTGAGAAGTTCCTGTACAACCGTTTTGTGAGGAACAAGGGGAACACCCTGGGGGAGAATCAGGAAAAAAAAAATAAATAAACAGAATAAAAAAAAAAAATAGATAAAAAAGCAAAACATTTCGTGTTGTTTTCACCCAAAGGTGTTTGAGGCAAAGAAGAGGAGATTACATACGTGAACGAATAAGGCTTCCTTTCTCTTTTCCCGCTCTTTCATGCCCTTGTTTTAAAATTATCGCGTTGGGTTTACCCCCCACAGCGCTCTTTTTGGAGGAGCAACAACGGAGCAACGACGGAGCAACGACGGAGCAACGACGGAGCAACAACAACTGCGTTTTTTCCCCTTTTGTTTCTCCTCCTTCCCCTCCCCTGCGACTGACCAGTTCACGAGAAAAGAAGCAATGGAAGTGAGACAAAATAACAAAGCAAAAGTCTTTCTGATTCCACGCAAAAGGCCTTTAATGTGTGACACAATTGGGTAGCCCCCCTTGTTACAGTGGCCTTTCGCCTCTTGTTCTTTCGCCTTTCCTTTGCTTATTTTTTCTTTTCCACTTCGCCCGACTTGCTTACCTTAGCAGTTTGGCAGCCGACCTTGCGCTCCACTTCACCGATAAGAAGCTCCACAACGGAGAACGATCACTCATAAGACAGATCTTCCATTTTTAAAAAGAGCAACATAGGTTCACTTAAGTGTGTGACTTCATACTAGCTTAGTACAAATTGGGAAGGAAACAATTTTTTCTTTTTTTTTTTGCAAAAAATTTTATGGCTAGTTGGTGTGCAAATTTTTTTTTTTTTTTTCACACTGACGCAATGCACACAAAGGAGAAATGGTAAAATAATCCTCAACGGTGTGGACAATTTTAAGGAGGGATGAAAAGGCTCCTTCAGTTCACGCGCGTTCCTCTCGGAGGTATGTATTCCCTTCTGGGTAACCATCCACGTGGTGTGTCTTATGCGTGTTGTGCAGATGTGCGGCTCATCGTCTATGCGGCTGTTCGGATGCGCTGCTAATCGTCTATGCGGCTGTTCGGATGCGCTGCTAATCGTCTATGCGGCTGTGTGTGAGGTCATACCATTACCTGCGCAGCGTCGCACTTTGGCCCAGACACGGAAGACTGCGCAGTGTTTGTTAGCCTAGCCTAATTGGCTGCTACTTTGCACAGCAACCGAGCCGTGGGGAAGGCGTATTGCCCTTCATTTATGACAACATACGTTTCGCTTTCCCCTTGGGGGTGCTTCCATTTCCGCAGATATAGGTAAGTGTACTACACAGGGCTGCATTGTGGTTTTGCTTGCTCTCCTCCAAACTTGGTGCAGACAGAGAAGGTCATCTGGTTTGCAATTGATGTCACAGCTGATGTTGCCCTGGCGGATGGAGTGACGTTCTTCTTTTCCTCCCCCCTTGCGCAGGGACGATGGAGGACCAGGGCGACTGCATCCTCACCTTCAGCTCGTACGAAGAATACGTGAAGAGCAAAATAACTCCAGCGGACTTGTTCTACATCGAGGATGTAAGTGGAATGGCGTCGGGGTGGGGTAGCTGCGCGGTGGTGTAGTTGCAGGGCTTAACCGGTTGCACCGTCGAACTGGCTGTGCCCCTTGGCATGCTGCATGCCGACCTGCACATGGTGTCCTCCCCCCACACACACAGACACACACCCACATGAACCGCTTTGCCTTTCTCTTCCTGTTTCCTTCCCCCCCCGCGAAGGAACAACTCGTGTTCGACATATTCTCACTGGGACTCCAAAGCAGGGGAGTACTAAGCTGCGAAGACTTCAATAGCATTTACCAAAAAAAAAAAAAAAAAAAGGAGAGTTTGAACAAGGCGGAAGAAAGAGAAGCAGACATCGTACAATACGACATAAACTCTCTAACTGATCACACAATGAACTTTTTTTACGCAATAAATTGCCACATGCATTTCTGTGAAGAAAATAAAATCTGTTCTATCCTCTTCATCCGTTATGTTAATAAGAACCACTCGGAGATCAGCTCGTACATAGACATCAACACTCAAAAGGTCAGGCAGAAAATAAATCAGAAAAGGTACATTTACGCAAGCAAAGATGACTTGGCATATTTCAACTGGCACAATAATTACAGCTGCACGAATGATAGCGAGAATTTCGAGATGGTCGTGAATAAACAAGTGGGTCTCCTTTTTAAGTACAGACGTGGTGGGGATGGGAAGTACTTCATTTTGAATCCTGTGCGGAGAGAGACGAAGATTCGGCTGAGCGATAATATAAGCCAGGGTCGTGCCTCGGTCGGGTTGTCTCCCGGGGAGGAAGAAAAAATGATAAGTTTGTGCGGCGGGGTGGAACGCGTGGAGCTGCGCGACGCGAACTACTTGCAGTGCATCCTGTACGTATTGCGTGTCTAAGGTTGGCGTTAGGAAGAGGGGGGTTCCTTTGCACGGTACTATGAAACAGGGGCCTCCTTTGCACGGTACTATGAAACAGGAGCCTCCTTTGCACGGTACTATGAAACAGGGGCCTCCTTTGCACGGTACTATGAAACAGGAGCCTCCTTTGCACGGTACTATGAAACAGGAGCCTCCTTTGCACGGTACTATGAAACAGGAGCCTCCTTTGCACGATACTAGGAAGAGAGGGGTTCCTTTTGTGGAAACTGCGTCTCTTGGTCGGCATAGCCCCATTTTGCTGCACTTGATTGTTCATTTTTTTGGTTCCTTTTTTTTTGGCGCATGTTTTTTACGTATGGGGGGTGCATCCGGCCCACCGGGGCCCCGTTGTAGGCGCATCGCCCGCGGCAGAATGGGCTTTTGCAAGTAGAGTCCCCCCCCAGGAATATGCACCGCACCAGTTCGGGGTGAGGAGAGGAGAGGTGCATTAAAAAGACGTCCACGTCCCGAAACGGTGTTACTTTTTTTTTTCTCTCTTTTTCTTTCTTTTTTTTTTCTTTTTCCTGGATGGAGCACAAATAGAAAACAAAGAATCATTTTTCAAACTGGGAAAAGTCAACAAACGGAAACGCGAAATTGAACGCAATTTTTTGCAAGTGCATGTGTGGAAAGTAATGTGCCCAATTTTCCGATTTTCCCACCTGGACACTGCGGAGAAGGAACTACATACATGAGGCATAAGGGGAAGGACCCCCTTGGTAGAAGGGCCTACCCGTTTGTCATTTCTTCCTCCCGAGGAGTTTTTCCAAACGCGCTGTTGCGGAGAGTGTGTGGAAAGGGACACGTCCCTCCCAAAAAAGGAGAAAATAACACGCATATAGATATATAATATATATAGCTCATCACACCTGAACATTGCTACACCCGAGTAGCCACTGCTCCCATCTCGTGGAGAAAAGGACCTCCGTTACAAAGGGAAACGATGAAGGACGAAGGCGAACTGAGAATCACCTATGAAGAGAAGGACCGGCTGCAGAAGGCATTCAGGCAGCACGAGTTTCGAGCTCTATTTGATGACTACTTCGATGAAGTTTCAGATGAGAAGTATCGAAAGGATAAGGAGGAGTACCTCTTTAGCTTATACTTCAATGGGGAGCTCAAGAAGAACCAAATTGTTATCGAGCCCACTGTAGCCTTCTGCGTCAAGACCAAAATTGTGTATTCGAATCAGACGCAGCAGAAGATGTTCCTGAATATCTGTTCACACGAGGGGATGCACTGTATCTCCTTTGAGGGTGATGGGGGCGGCAAATTGAGCATCCCCTACTCCCTTTCGCAGATGAGGCCAGACAAGACCGGTAAGGCGGGGTAGTAGCTGCCCCGTTCTCTAATGCTTCCAACCTGTCTAGTGCTTCTAACCCGGTAATGCTTCTAACCCGGTAGTGCTACCAACCCGTGTAATGATTCCACCCCCCCCTGCAGGAAAAGGCGAGTGCTGCCTCACCGTCGACTGTTGCACGAACCCCTCCACCATAGACGCCGTGAGGACGCACAACGAAATTCTGAATTACCTCCTTGAGAACGTATGCATGAACATCGAAAAAAATGTACTAAAAGACAAAGAAAAGATAAGCCGAGATTTTAAAATATCGAAGGGGATGGTGTGTAAAGGAGGAAAGCCTTTTGTCATGTGCATTAATAAGGAGTTTTTAAGGCCCTCAGTTGTGCTGGATGTGGAGAAGAAGCTAGAGGTTATGAGGAATAAGTTCGAAAGGGTGAATGACACCACGACGCCCTCGAAAATGGAGAAGCTTACGGTCGGAAGTAAAGTAAAGACGGAGGTGCACGTGAGGAAAGAGCAAGAGGAGGAAAAGAATCACCAGGGGGAGGAAAAGAATCACCACGAATCTGCAAACGATAGCCACCTAGAGCTCATTACACACTTTAGCGAATCCGTAAAAAGGTGCAGGGAAGGCAAAGACGAGATGGAACGCACAAGGAAGACGCAATTTTTTATCACCTACCAAGGGTCCATAAACGCAGCTTCTTTATGGGGACAAAACGAACATCCCAATGTGTGCATAAGCTTACCAGAGAAAATCAAACTTTCGATATGCACCAAGGGGTTCGTAACGAGTGAGAACATATTGCTGCAGATTGGGAAGAAAAGGGTAGAGGTCAAATTTGTGAACTGCCATGAGGATGACGTGGTGGCTGATCTGCCCTACCCATGCAACGTGGAGGGCTACTCCTGCATCATAGGAAGGGACAAGAAAAAAATCGAAATTTACCTAAACCTTTGCGAAGAGTTCGTTCAGACGTATGCCAAGAGTTTGTATGAGAAGTATTTCTCCAGCCAGGGGGCGGAGGTGCACGTGGCAGAGCTGGACTACATCGACGACGTCCTGCGGGGTTACGAGTTGGAGGGGGGGGCGAAGACGGCGAAGGCGGCGAACGTGGAAAATGAGGAAAATGTGGCAAATGAGGAAAATGTGGCAAATGAGGAAAATGTGGCAAATGAGGAAAATGTGGCAAATGAGGAAAACGTGGCAAATGAGGAAAACGTGGCAAATGAGGAAAATGTGGC